ATTATTAAGACGACAAAAATAATGTAAAGCACTCTCCAAACTCAGTCACACGACTGTATAATGAGAACGTCGAATGTTCAACGTAGGTTGCTTTCCAAATGCAAATAGATAATAGAGAATGGTGAGAGTCACCTAAAGGATTAACCATCAAATCTTGACTTCACAGACGCTCTGCACTCTTTTGTTGGTATAATCAGAAATTCGTTGTTGGACAAAGCCGGTACGTTCAAAAGTGTACCTGATAACATGACAATCAAAATAATCCATTCACAGGTCAGAACAAATTTATGGGAGTATCTTACCAATCACGTTTTCAATAACAGGAAGAGGAATTTAAGAATAAGTCTTTTTAGTGAATGTGTGCTTATTTCAGTATTAGTACATTAATCGTTGATATAATAATGATAAACTTAATCTTAAAACAGAAGATACGTCGTGATGTGACTAACTAATCCATGGAATTTTACATGGAAGTCACATCATTGTCAACACTGACTCGTCTTATCGCTACATAAGCAATAGGATGTTTAACTTCTCAGAAGAAAAGATTTGGGCTGAGCGTAGAGTAGTATATTTAACGTAAATGATAATAAGCTGCAAATAATGACGGTGCTCAAGCTATATTGGCGAAGCCGTAATAAGAGCTGCAGAGGGGTATAACAGCAATAAGCTGTTTCAAAGTGCAGGCGATCGCGAACTGTGGTGAGTAGCGAAAGCAAGAGAGATGGAAAAGGCAGCGGCAATGGGTAACAGCAGACAACTGATCAGACTTTTAAAAAAACGGTATTAAGAACCCAACTATCAGCGAAACTATCACGGAAAAAGATGAACATATCATTCACTCTCAAACCAGATTTTTTCGATGGGCAGAACATTTTAGAGATCAGTTCAACTGGCCTTCATCCTTACTTTGGTTTCCCACGATCCACAGTCGACTTAAATGGCGATTTATTATAAGTTCGCCAACTTTTTACGAGGTTGAAAAAGCTATAGGAAATCTGAAGCGAGGGACAGCAGCAGGCCCTGAAAGGTTGTCCCCTGAGATTTTTAAGGATGGTGGTCCAGTACTAGCAACGAGATTGACTGAGGTCTTAGGTAGAATCTGAGAACTGGACGTAATCCCATCTGACTGGTCTCAATCATTGATTGTGCCAGTCTATAAGAAAGTACAAAAGTCCTCTTGTGACAATCACAGAGGGATCAGTTCGACTAACATAGTGTCTAAAATATTAGCTTCAATAATACTTCGACGCCTAAACAAAGCTCGTGAAGAGCAGACTAGAGAAAACCAGGCTGGTTTTCGACCTGGACATGGTTGTATAGACCAGATATTCACTTTACGTCAGGTCCTAGAACAAAGACACACATTCAGACGCCCCGAAATCGCAGTACTTCTCGACCGTAAGTCGGCATTTGACTACCAGGAGATTCACTTGTTGACTTAGAATACGCCGATGACATAGTTCTATTTGGTAAAGACGCTGACAAAATACAGAGTCTTCTGACCACTATAAGCAACTATGCAGGTATGTTCGGGATACGATTCTCTACCTCAAAATGCAAAATGTCACATCCGGATTGGGTTGCAGCGACACCTGAACTAATGATAGGGAGTGAAGTAGATGAGCGTGTTGACCGCTTCACTTATCTTGGGAGTCTCATCAGCCCTTATGGTCTGGTGTGTGACGAAATCTCAGCACGGATACAGAAGGCTCGTCTAGCCAGGGTCGGCCAGACCAAAACGTGCCATAAATCGATGAAGTCGCTGACAAGTGGACTGAGCCATGTTGGTAGGTGTAGACCACGTGGTTGGGATTCGCGAGAAGATAGCAATCGATGGTTAGAGACCTTGAATGACATGGCTCAAAATCGTTTGCAATGGCAAAGGTGCCTCCATCCATACGCTCGTATAGGATTTTCAAAATTCATCTTTAGCAGAAAGGTATAACTTATAAGTTGGAAGTTGTGGAATGTGTTGCTTCAACAGAGAAACTTTGAACCGTTAGTTATTAAGTTAATCAGTCCAAAGTTCTAACATTTTCAGTAACTGGGAACATAACTCGTTATTTCATTGATAGGTAAACTATAAATTCGGCAAGTACGACCAAACCATTTAGTTCTGAGCACAAAACTCCATCAAAATAATCCACCCGAGCTACAAATCTTCTCCACCATCTTAAGTACAAATCACAATACTGAAAGATGTTGAACTATTACTCTTTTGATAATCTTAGTGGTCAAACGTCCATAGCGGGATTTTTTCTTTGGCCACCATTGACAAGGTTTAAACATATTGCTCAACCTATCAGCTACCAATATAATAAATTATGCGTCTGTAATACACTGCTATAAAATATAGGTAAAAAAGCCTACCACCAAATATTTACAGGTCCAAACCCGTGGTAATTATTGTGATCGAATGCGCACCAAAACATCTGGAAATAATAAATTTCTACTGAATGTTCAGGTGATAGAAACATTATTTGAGAATAAAAGGCGACTTGTTACTCAACTACTACCTATGTCGAACCACCACTCAGTATGAAGAAAGTAAAATAAGGTTACAGCAGGATCGTATCATCACACAGGAAGACAACATCATCTGCATACTCGAGGTCGAGAAGTCTGTCTTCAGGCAACAGATCCACTACATCCTTACCTACATCCATCAGAGTTGTTTCCAGAACGTTAACAATGTGAAAGTTAAAGGGGAATGGTGAGATTGGGCAACTGTGACTAACCTCACTACGTGAGTGGAACAATGAAAAGAGGTGGTTGTATGCCCTTAATCTACTTATGGCGTTTGTATAAAGGGCCTTTAAGATGTTAATAAACTTCTCAGGCACACCATCCTTCAATAGACAATCCCAGAGAACAGTCCTGTCCAACGAATCGAAGGCAGCCCTGATATCAAGAAACACTACGATTGTTGGCATGTGATAAGTATGGTGGTGTTCTAACATTTAATGGAGGGTGAAGATGTGATCAATACATCCTCGACCAGAACGAAAACCAGCCTGCTCCTCGGGTTTCGAAGTTGGAGTTGCTTGTAGACTTCCGCCTCATTTGGTGGGTCAGTTTGTGGTTTCAGAAAAACTGGTTCAGTATACGTATTCGGTAGAAGCATTCACTTTTGACCAGACAGTGACAAGAGATCGTTTAGATAGAACATGGTTTCTACCATGGGCGAGCTGCTGCATAAGCTGAAAAGTAAGGATACACAAATCAGGAATAAAAAGGAGTGAATAGGCAACGCGGTAAATGATAATAGTGTAAATTGTCTGACTTTTAGTAGGGGCGAGAAAAGCATTGCCAGTAAAAAGCGTTATTTCATTTATTTGTCCGAGGGCTGTGATACTACACAGGTGCCCAGACCGAAGCAGGTAATTTTCTTAGAAGGCCACACCACCAGCCGTTGACGTAAAGGTCTAACCCACAAGGCAGTGAAGCATCGTAAGGAGATGCAGTCCCGTGGTAGCTGGTGACCAACAATTGTTTCATACGCCATTTGTTCCTTCAGGTTACTGGAGTGCATGTACATCATTGGTTTGGAATCAGGGTTTTCCAACTCCCCTAGGTGAACTTTCCGTGTCCACCAAATCGGTTAAAGCGCCGGACATCTCAGTTTTGTAAACAACAGTAATGCCACGAGAAGGCAGTGATTAGAACTTCCCTGGCAGAGGCTATATACGCGTGGCCATGTGAGAGCAGTTGGAGAGGAAGAGCGGACTATCCTCACTCTCAGCCATACCAGGGCATTAGATAAACTAAATGAAGAATTGCGAAATAACGGCTTTTCAGAGGAAATTCCTGTCAGGAAGTAACAAAAAAGAAACTGCAACACTGGTCAGTAAAAAACCATATATATGGAACTGGAATTCAAAGGGGACATAGTGGGTGATATTTTGACACAGCTTAAAAGATCTATTGAAAGGATGTTTTGGGCCGCCAAGTTTCATTTCTGCCTTTGCCCCGCATGCATTGATACGTCTCAGAGTCAGCTCTTCCTCTCGAAATACTCTCACATGTCCACGCGTATGCGGCCTCTGCCAGGGAATTTTTACTCACTTGCTTCTCGCATCAGAGGTGTTTACGAATATGAGAGGAACATAAGCGAACATCCGGCACTTTAACCGGGTTACCTAGAGGAGTTTGAAAACTCTGATTCCAAACCAATGGTGTACATGTATTCCAGTACCCTAAGGAACAGATGGCTTATGAGTCAGTCGCTGATCACCGGCTACCACGGGACTACATCTCCTAACGATGCTCCACTACCTTGTGGGTTAGACCTTTAGCTCGAAGACTCGTGGTGCGGCCCCCTAAGATAACCACCCGCGTCAGTTTGGGAACTGGAGGAGTATTCCAGACTTCACACCTTCGAATAATTTATGTGGCGTAAATCTGTTTGGTGCCGCACGAATGTTTATGCGTTTAAATATAATAAATAATATATATAATCTTCTCGACTAAATTATTACTTAAGCAAAAAATCGAGGGTAGAATACTGATGATAAGCTGCTCCATATGTGCACACCAACTCAATTGTTCCTGTGATGCTAGGCCGTACTCAGAGGGCTTTGTTGGGAAAAGGAGTCATTAAATTGATCAACATCGCTATTTCCTATCACTTGGTAGATAATAAACATCATATTAATATAGATGAAGCTTTTTTCGCTTTAAATCAAGTCCCAAAGAACATACCTAAAGGAGCTAGATTATATCTACTCTAAATAGCAGAAGTCATCTGTATCAACTTCAGGAAACCGGAGTTCTGTGTATATCTAGCCATTATGTTTACCTTGGCCCACGGCTGGACCATTATATACCTGAACAGAAAGTTATGAAACCTCTTATCCCTCCTCCCAATCAAGTTTGTGTTAATATCTTTCTTACTTAGCACATTCATATTTCCCGATTCACATGGATTCGTTTTTATCATAATTACCTTGTAAATACTTCTTTTATTACATATTACATCCAACAACGGTATTGTCATCATTACCTCGAATAACAAGACGAAATTATCCAACTATACATTTATTCATACAACTTTTTAATCCGTTATATTAGTATTATATTGATGGTGACTTCACACTACTACAAATAATTCTGACCTCTACCAAATCACCCTTCTAATTTACGAATAACAATTTCCAAGTACTTACATTGTAAGAGACGAAAAAGTTCACCTTCCTATGGATGTTACTCCATCAACAATCGAAGGAATCAGGATGGCCATCAGACTAATCAAGAATGGGAAAGCAGCAGGATCTGACAAAATGCCAGCTGAAGCATTGAAGTCAGACACACAAGTATCTGTAAATACGCTCCACATTCTCTCCAGAAATAACTGGGAAGATGTGTAAACTCTCATGTATCCTAGCAGCATCATCGATGAATGTGGAGGAACTGGTGCAGACGTAAAGGCGAAGATTGGAAAAGTAAGGGCCACATTCCTACAATTGCAGAACATATGGAACTCAAAACAACCGTCGGGCAACATCAAAGTCGGAATCTGCTATACGAACGTCAACACAGTTCTGCTGTACGGGGCTGAAACGCGGAGAACTACCACAACCATCATCAAAACAGTACAGGTATTTGTAAACAACTGTCTACGCAAGATACTACAGATCGGTTGACGGGATATTATCAGCAACAGCCTATTGTGTGAGAGAACAAACCAGATTCCAGATGAAGAGGAAATTCGAAAAAGACGTCTCAAGTGGATAGGATATACATTGTGGAAACCATCAAACTGCATCAGGAGGCGAGCGCTAACTTGGAATCGTGAAGGGAACAGGAATAGAGCAAGACCAAGAAATACATTGTGTAGGCAATGGGAAGCAGACATGAGAAGGATGAATAACAACTGGAAAGGATTGTCCAGGACAGAGTTGCATTGAGAATGCTGATGGGCGGCCAATTCTCTCCATGAGGGGTAACAGGTGTAGGTTAGTGGAAGTGAACTTATATACCAAAAACAATCTTCATGTTAAGTCACTGCTTTAATTTCTAAAGGATTTGATTAATTTTAACAGCAAAAGCATTTATCAAACTATTTAGGAAATTGTCTGTGATGGTACGCGATAATGTGAATCAATTAATAACAAAGAAACTTGTTTAGTAATAAGTATACAACAGTCTGCCTCATGGTCTGTTGATAATTCACTCGTCCTTGTATGTTTGTTCGGACTGACATTTGGTTACTTCTAAAGTAATTTCCTTGTAAATAAGCAGTAAACCTAGGAGGATAGTACATGACATATAGGTTATGATGGGTCCATAAATCCAAAAAACTGTACTAACAAGCACCGCACCCATGATACGAGCCAATGCATTCAATGAACGGAATATACCCAACGTTTGTCCCTAAAATCCAGAAAAAATTGGAAATCTTACATCGAAATTGGCCCTGATTAAATACTACCAAAGCAAACAAAATACTGCGTAGGTTGTCAGTGGCAGGAACGTAGCGTTAAAACCCATCATTTAGAGCAGTTTTTAACGGTGATAAATAGCAAAAAAATTGTAAACGCATAGAAAATTTTGGATAGAGCTATGTAAAATAATCTCAAAATCGCTACATCCTTCTGTTTAGATACTAAGTAAGAAGTATCAGGTAACGTATTTTAAACAGAATTTCTATTGATTGTGTTGCAGCAGGGTATGATGCTTCTTAAACTAGAGACAGAAGCACCTTCACAGAAGAGTATTCGCCAATCATAGCAAACACTGATCATTGTGTTATAAAAAATCTCTGTTCTGCGATATATTGTTTGTTACATTCCTAAAGCTAACAGATGACTAATATAATGTATTTACAGAGGTACTGCTAGTGAAAACTAGAGATGTTCCTGGAAGAATTGTGGTTACCAAATGTGTGTTGTGAGAAGACTCATCTATGCCACATGGAAAAAATACATGTTATGCAGTGTTGATCAATAGTTCAGATGTGTCAGTCAGATGAGTGGAACTGTAATATGTTATCTACATAATTTAATACTGCTGATGGTTTCCCATCCCAAAGCCTCCAGCTCAATATAAGAAGCCAAATCTACTTTTCGGAAATGAAAGGTGATGAAGTGGCTTAATCCAGAGTGGTCAAAGAAAGAGGCTTAGCTGCCCCAATAAAAAATCTAGTTACAAGTACATGTGATTGGCCAGTATATCATTTTATTTCCTAAGATGTATATTTATAACCCTGAGCATTTGGTTCGGTTTAGCCCAATAAAATTCCTCTTTTTTCTCTTAATTTTCTAACTCACTAGGTGGGTGAATACTTCTGATACATACAAAAACCTTCTATATTAGTCTCGAGTGCCACGTGACATAACAGTAAGATGAAACCTGGTTTTTGTGTTTAATAGGAGTTTGTTGTAACGTTTCAATTATCTTGAAAACGGAAGTGCAAACATTAACAGATTATTTATTTTAATCAAAAATATAATTTAAGTAGTTGAACCGAACTCCCGATTTTTGTGCTTTTAAGAAAATCTCCGTCATATGACAAGGAAGTAATTAAGGTACACTCAATTTTTCGCTCACTTAAAAATATTTCTAAACATACTTGTTGTTCTGCAGTAGTGTACAAAGAAACCAAACCGTTTACGCTCGGAAAAAAGATGGAGGATGCAAATGCATATAAAGCTAGTCCAATGTAGAAAACGAAAATATTTGTGGCGAAACTGAAAATGGCAGACGCCAAAATCAAACAGCAAGAACTCTGTCAATAAAAAAGAAATATAGAGAAATTACTGTGTATAAGTATTGCTGAAGAAATACTTTTGAGATATCACTACGTAGAATAAAACGAATTTATATGGAGTTAAACATGTGAACTAATCTATCGTGTTCCGCACATCCAAAGGCCCTGGTACAGCTAAGAGTAAGGAGAATCAACTATCCCTCGCAAAATGATTTCATATGACCAAGCGCTTATAGACAGTCAAGAAATTCTTGCTGAGTTTTTTTCCAGGGTTATTTACAGAAGAGAGAGGATTAAAAGCGAATACCTGGCGTTCGAACTGCGTTGTTGAATTTGGAATAAAAAAATCGTATGTGCACAAAAGACGTTTATTTTCGACTCAATAACCGTACAATATAAAATTGGTGTAGCAATAGTAAGTCCATTAGGTCCAACTATAGAAGAATTATCTTGAAAACACGGAGATTAAAAAAGTGATTAACGAAATGACAGACTACTCCAGATATGCTGATGTAACAGCAGACAACATGCAATCCGCCTGTTGGAATTCTTCAATAATGCTCATCCTAACATACAATTTACTATGAAATACGAAAAGATTGTCATCTCCCACTTTCTTGCTAATGCCACAAGGGATATTTCAACCTTCGGCTAATTTTTCTAGTTTTAATAGTTTTTGCCCAGCCAGTTACAAGAAAGCGTTGGTCAAAACATTATTTTATGGAGTAGAAAAGATATTTAGTATTAATAAACACTGAATGGCTAAACGACACCGTTACTCGCAGAAATTCATTGACAAACATAGAAAAGCTAAAGAAGGGTACGATTGCAATCAACAAAAGACCGATGTTTATAGGTGACAACTTTAAGGGTACCGACGTGGCGAGCGCAATTATCAGGAGGCTTGACACCGAATAAGCCGTAAATTACTGGGCAGCTATTATTACTGTGTGAAATATGTTCAATGGCTCAGTCAAGAGTCACTAAGCAACCCTTTCGTTACCGCCAACTGTGTTTACAAACTTACATGTATCTCCAATATATATCGTGCAAACAGAAAGAATGGCATATCTTAGATTTATCAGACATGTTCCAAAAAGCCTTCAAGCAGGTGCAACTACTAAACATCTCTTGCATACAGGACATCAGGTCAATATCTTGCAATAGATTTAATAGAATTCCACTGCTTATTCGTGACCTAACAAATGTTTCTGCTGTTTCCACAGTTGTTCGTATATCTTCCCAAGAAGCATCAGGGTCAGTCTTGTCTTCAAAATTGTCCATGTGTGACTTCAGATGTTTTTGGAATTTACCTTTGGCTTTCTCGTCACTGAGTCCAACTCTAACGAGTCTTCTTAATGTGGCTTTTCTGAGTCCGATGAGGCGCAAGCGAATACAGGCTCGTATTAGAACATGATTAGAGTCTAAACATGTGTTCCAGAACGAGCGGCAGTCTTCTGTTGATGGCAATATTGTCTATTCTAGTCCTTCGTTGCTTAGGTGCAGGGGTTCGCCATGTTAAACAATGTTTCTCCTTATGCTTAAAACTAGTACATGGTAAAAATAGATTTTCGTCCCAGCACAGTTTCAGCGAACGGTCACCATTACCTGTTCGCTGAGCTGGAATACTAAAATACCCACCTAAATGACCTTCTGTTTTGTTTAACCTACCTACTTGGGCATTAAATTCACCTGCTACGAGTACCATGTTTGAGATCCTTCTTTAAAATTCATCCGGGCTGCAGTCAGTGGAAGCGTACGCAGAAATGAAGGGAAGGTAACAATGTGTGTACCTAACATGAGTTCTTACGGAGCTGTCTAGCCGAACAGAACATTAGTTACTTACGCCTGTTACCCCTCATCGAGGAGCATAGGCCAATCACCATCATTCTCCATCCATCCGCCCATCAGCATTCTCAATGCAACTCTGTCCTGGACAATCCTTTCCAGTTGTTATTCATCCTTCTCATGTCTGCTTCCCATTGCCTACACAATGTATTTCTTGGTCTTGCTCTATTCCTGTTCCCTTCACGATTCCAAGTTAGCGCTCGCCTCCTGATGCAGTTTGATGGTTTCCACAATGTATATCCTATCCACTTGAGACGTCTTTTTCGAATTTCCTCTTCATCTGGAATCTGGTTTGTTCTCTCACACAATAGGCTGTTGCTGATAATATCCCGTCAACCGATCTGTAGTATCTTGCGTAGACAGTTGTTTACAAATACCTGTACTGTTTTGATGATGGTTGTGGTAGTTCTCCGCGTTTCAGCCCCGTACAGCAGAACTGTGTTGACGTTCGTATAGCAGATTCCGACTTTGATGTTGCCCGACGGTTGTTTTGAGTTCCATCCTCGACAATCCTTTCCAGTTGTTATTCATCCTTCTCATGTCCGTTTCTATTTCCCAGCGTCATGTGTTCTTTGGCCTTCCTATTTTCCGTTTCCCTTCAGGATTCCAAGTTGGGACTTGCCTAGTGATACAGTTCGATGATTTACTCAATGTATATCATAAACACTTGAGACGTCTTTTTCGAATTCCCTCTTCAGCTGCAAGTTGGTTTGTCTTCTCTCAAAGAAGGCTGTTGCTGATGGTATTTGGTTAGTGAATGTTGAGTATTTTGCGTAGACAAATATTTATATATAATTGTACCTTTTTGACCATGGTTGTAGTAGTTCTCGTTGTTTCAGATTCGTACAGTAAGACTGTCTTGACGTTCGCATTGAAAATTCTGACTTTCAGTACATAGGCGACTTTTATGATGTATCTATTCTAAAAGTGATTGATCTGCCCTCATAATTAATGCCATGCCTACACTCATCAGACACAAGAACTTACCGCCGGGTCGCCAGAGAGATGGAGGATATATATCGTTGGTTTCCTGAGATGGCTAGATAAGGTCAAGTGAATGATCACACTAGAATCATGCATTATGGTTTCGGAGACACAATATACATCAACAGTACGAGAATATAGTTATTTATTTATTTAAACACATATATATTGGTACAAAAGGGCACCAGGTACATATGCGCCACACAAAATAATGAAAGTAGGAAGAGAAGGGATGAAAAGATAAGGCGGACTAAAATGTACAACCAGAAGACTCTTTCAGTTAAGAAAGTTAGAACCACACTTTATGTAGAAAGTAAAAGAAGGTTGCAGCAGGATCGCCACTGGCTTCTATTCTGAGCCATATCTGATAACGTCTCTAGCCACTGTGTTGCACCATCTCTCGGACCCCAGCCAGGGAGTCGTGAAGGACCAACAGAAGCTAGCCCTTTGCAGCTCTCTTTCATGCCACGACATCATGTCATACACTGACCTCCTCTCCGCTTTTTCCAACCAGTCCCAGGGTCGGCAAATAATGCACGACGTGGAAGTCTCTGGGACGACATTCGTAAAACATGTCCAAGCCACCGAAGTCGGTGTTTCAAGATGGTGACACCAATTGAATTATCGTCTCTGTGCCCGAACACACGATGCCGAACCTCTGCATTACTAACATGGTGTTGCCACTGTATGTCAGCAATCCTTCGGAGACAACGATGATCGAACACAGAGAGACGTCTAACATCCTCAACTCGGAGAGGCCAGGTTTTACATATCCACACCGCCATTACTTACATCCATCAGAGCTATTTCCAGGATGTCGTCGATGGCAAAGTTGAAGAGGAATGGGGAGATTGAGCAACCCTGCCTAACCCCACTGCTCGAATGGAACAAGGGAGAAAGGTGGTTGTATGCCCTCACTCTGCCTGAGGTGTTCGTATACAGGGCCTTTAAGATGTTAATGAACTTCTCAGGCACACCCTTCTTCAATAGACAATCCCAGAGAACAGTCCTGTCCAACGAATCGAAGGCAGCCCTGATATCAAGAAACACTACGATTGTTGGCCTGCGATAAGTATGACGGTGTTCTAACATTTGGCGGATGGTGAAGATGTGATCAATGCATCCTCGACCAGAACGAAAACCAGCCTGCTCCTCGCGAGTCAATCGTTCTCGGGTTTTAAACAACCTACGAAGAATGATAGAAGCCAATAGTTTGGACGCAATCGGAAGAAGACTTATCCCCCGATAGTTATTGCAGGAACAACGTGAACCCTTTTTAAAGATAGGGACGACTATTGACTCATTCCATGATGTTGGAACATTTTCTTGCTCCCAAACCTTTGGAAACAACACCGTCAGTTCCTTAGCCAGAAAGTCACCACCATCTTTAAAAAGAGCCGAAAGTAAGTCATCTGGGCCAGGTGATTTGTAACGTTTCAAGAGTTGGAGTTCCTTGCGGACTTCCGCCTCATTTGGTGGATCAGTCGTCACCGGCCATGGGCGGCAGGACAAACTGGTTAATGTTGCCGGAGCATCAAGCCAGTTGAACTGCCCTTCGAACAATTACGCCCATCGTTCAAGACGTCGAGAGATGTTAGTGATTGGCATCCCATCATCCTCGTAGATTGTTTCACTCACACCAGACTTCTTGCTGTCAGTGGCTCGGATGAGTTGGAAGAGCTTCCGGCAGTTACCAGATGCAGCTGATGCTTCCAACTCGTTGGCACGGTCCGACCACCAGGCTTCTCGGTCCTTACGCAAGCTTTGCCCGATTTCATTACGTAACAGCCTTCGTTTGTGGTCAAACTCACGGTGACCCGGAGTAGACCGGCGGGCTTCCATCAGTTATAAGGAGCCAGAAGAAACCCAGTGCTTGTAAGCGGGACGTTTCGCGAAGCCGCAAGCGACTTTACTCGCCATTTTCATGACGTCGTGAGAATGCAACCAATGCTCATCTATACTTTTCGGTGGGATGGTAGCTAGCCTAGAGGCTAGCACCGCTCGATACTTACTTGCAACAGATGTTGCAGCCAGTTTACTAAAACCGATCCGTTGGAGCCCATGTGCACCATTGGTTTGGAATCAGGGTTTTCCAACTCCCCTAGGTGAACTTTCCATGTCCACCAACCCGGTTAAAGCGCCAGACATTCGCTTTTCGTCCTCTCACTTTCGTAAACAACACCCCC